TGGCTGAGGAATTCTGGGAGTTGAAGTCCACACATCTTAAAGTTGCTAAGGTTGAGAAACACTGCTTTAACCCTTGAAAACTGACTGGGTGAATACCATCTGAAGGCAAAATGCAGAGCTTGAGGTATTTTTATCAACCAGTGCTTTTATCTTCCAGTGGCAGTATGGAACCTGCATTTCACAGAGGAGATCTCCTGTTCTTGACCAACCGCATCGAAGAGCCAATCAGAGTGGGTGAAATCGTGGTCTTTAGGATAGAAGGAAGGGAAATTCCAATAGTGCATCGGGTGCTGAAAATCCATGAAAAGTATGTCTCAGGTTTTGGACGGTGATACTTGCAGACATCTGTTGCTATGTCAGTTTTCGCTGTGTCCTTTCACAAGTGGTTTCAGCTCCGTTTCAGTCTTCACCATGGCATGGAGGATCGGAAACGAGCTTTATCCGCGCCCATTTCTTCTCTCCTGGTATTCACAATTCTGATAATCCTTTGTTGTTGTTTGATGAAACTACGCTTTACCTGAACCAGCAAACAGTTGTTTGAATGAGCCCCTCCAGCCGAGATCGCAAGCACCATTCATCTGGGTTTGGCATCTTGTTTGGAGGGCTCTTTCAAGCCAGAGTTTGCTGGTTTAGTTGCAGCTGCAAAACGTGGTTCAATTAAACAAGGGACCTTCCATCACACTCGGTGTATGAGAGGAGAAGGTCGAGGGAGCTAATAGAGTTTGGAAATCATGTGGAAGAACCAGTACGAATACAATGGTGTTACTTGAGGAAGGGAGCAGATGCTAAACTTAAACTAGCTTTGCCAAATCTTTATAATCCTGGATTAGGTGTGGGTTCAGCACTTTGGCTGTTCTATGCTTCCACCCAGGTTATATCTTTTTTGTATTCTGTTCTTACTGTTAGAATTTGAAAAGAGTATTTAGATTAACCCAGCTTTGACTTGAACCTGTGCTGGAAATGAACTCAAACTTCCTGCCTTAAACATGGAGTGCAAGAATGATGACCAAGTTCTAGGCAAGGAGTAGGTAACCTGACTCCAATTCCCATCATACTTGGTCAGCTTTATCTCTGGCAAGGGACTGTGGGGACTTTAGTCCAAAAAGTATGGAGGGATGCCAAGTTATGTAGGATAAACAAGGCTTTGATTTCCCTTTCCATATCTTTCCTGTTACTAAATCAGTTTTCTTTTTAATAGCAAATCGGTTTTCTTTTTCATTTTAACATTTCAAAATGCATTTTTCTTCCAAATGCTTGGTGTATTTGTGCAGCTTTTCTTAACCCCGCAACTCCTTTGTGTCCTTCTGTGTAGGCCAAAACAAAGCTTTATTTGGCAAAACAAAAAGAATGAAAAATTCCATTGACAAAGCCATTAAACCACCCAACTCCATATCATGTGAACTCAGAATGATTAAAATGCAAGCTACTTAATCTTTATTTATTTTTTTTATTTATATATCAAATTTGTCACCGCCCATCTCGTTGGAAGCAACTCTGGGCGATTTACAGAAGAGACAAAATTAATTAAAATACCATATAACAACAATCTTAGTAATAAATAAGTTCCAAGAACGATGGAGAATTGGTGAATTCAGCTCTAATTCTCATAATTCCTTTGGGGTCAGAGATGGCTGGATCAGAAGCTTCTATGGTTGCTTCACAGCAAAGTGGGGAATATGTAACAATTGTCACAAAGGTCCTAAAATAAGGTTAATGTTGTAAAAGGAAAAAGAGGGAGGATCCCAGGCATATACACTCACACACCCCACCTGCAGAACACGGGAAGAAACCAGCTTAAAATCTTGATCCTGCCTACTGGTGTATTGGGGCATACTTGCTTGGCATCTTCATTCCTACTTACAGTCTGGTTGCATTCCGCTTTGCCCATCCATTAACTTCTGCCCTAACAGTGTGGGTTGTTTTTTTTCTCTCCCTGTGCCAGACAAAACGGCGACATCAAGTTTTTGACCAAAGGCGACAACAATGCGGTCGATGACCGAGGCTTGTACAAGCCAGGGCAGCACTGGCTGGAGAAGAAAGACGTGGTTGGAAGAGCAAGAGGGTGAGTGAGCGGCCAGCCAGCTGGTGGCACAGTTAAGTGGGCGTTCCTTCCCACTTAACCACTCTGCGGAGTTCAGCGGTTTCCCCTGCGTTCGGCGATTGACGTCCCTGTTTGCTTCTGCCCATTCGCCAGATTGGAAAGACGTTATTCTTGGAACTATGATTTTAACTGTCTTCCTCTTACGTCTTGGTTATGGATAAATTTGGTCCTCTGGTTTTGAACTCCCCTGCTTCTGTATCACACATTGTTTCTGAGTTTTATGAAGGCCTTTTTTAACCGGCATGTAATTTGGAGGAAGAGGGCCGCTTATAGAAAACCTTACATCTTTTGCTCCTTTGTTCCCCCCTGTCAATTTAGTTTATGATCAGCCCAAGAGGTTTCAGCCAGTAGAGTGTCTAAAGAGGATGACTTTGTTTCTCCGTTTTAGATTTGTGCCGTACATCGGAATTGTCACCATCCTAATGAACGATTACCCTAAATTCAAGGTAGGACTTTCTGTTCCTTTGCTCTCTTGGCGTGACCCACTGCGTCGGCAAGCCAAAACATTCAGACAACGCATGGAGGCAGCTGGGTTCAGGGTCTCTCTCGGCAGAATTCCACTGAGGCATCCCAAGCCGGGCACATTCTAGGGAGTGCAGGCAATTGACTCTCAATGGTGGCTTGGTGCAAATGAGTAAAGTGTCTGGCCTTTCCAAGTCTTGGAATTTTGTTTTGTTTGGGACATAGATTGGGGGTTGAGAAAGGCCAGAGAACATTTAAAACAAACACCACTGGGAGCTTCCAGAGGAGCAGGCAAGGCACAGCGCAGCTCCCTAACATTTTTTCTGAAGTTGAAACTCTTCAAGGAACAAGGCACGTTCTTAAACCATTGGTCTTGTATCGTTTAAAGCTTGCGGTCACCATTTGGGGCCATGCGTCCTGTTAAGTTCTCTTGTGGTTTCGTTAGTTTCATCCTAGCATAACATGTGAACCGTGCATTCTAGTTCGCAAGTTATTTATGGGTTAGCACTGTGCTGACACTGTGGGCTTGTTCTAGTAAACCTGACTAAAAGAAAGCATAGCTTAGTGCAGGATGTGAACCCACCCACTGAGATGGCAAGCTTGTACCCAAATTGTGCCATTTTGGGTGTTTTACTATATATTTTACATATCTTCCTGCCCTTAGAGAAATAGTCCATTCCCACCACATTTGGGGGGTAGAGGCAGAGGGAGGATCCTGGATGAGTCCTATTGTTGGAGCTTTGAAGCTGAGAACTTCTGTGGAAACCTGGGACCTTACTGGAGACCATGTCCTGTGAAGCAAGGGACCGGGCAATTCCTGCATTGTATTTGAAACAATGTGGGTGAATGCTCCAAATATTTCTGTCTTGTTCTTTTCCCCCCACCAGTACACTGTCCTTTTTCTCCTCGGCTTGTTTGTCCTCGTCCATCGAGAGTAGCCTGTCACCAAGGAAGTCCAGCGGAGGCTTGGACCATCCCTCCGAGTAGGCGGTGGGATGTGAAGTGTGTCCCATTTCGCTGCTTCTTAATCCAAGTTGGTTTGGTGTTGGGTTTCATTTTCTACGGCTGCTGTGTCCCTGGAAGGTTGATCTCAGTATTTTGAACAGTTTGTCACACTTTAGCATTTTTGTACATTGGTGAATTTTTATATTAAAAGTTTTAAGCCAATGCCTTTTGCCTTTTTCTGAGTTCGTGGGTTCTCTTTTCAACTGACTCCACTGGAAAGTATGAAAATCAGATTCTGGTTAATGGCTCAAGATGTCTCTGTGGACAAGCTGTGTTCCTCCAAGTAAGAATAAAGTAATCTTAGGACCAGTGAATCACAACTATACATTCCAGTTTTAAAATAATAGATGTGTGGCACCTCTCCACTTTCAAGTTGATAGGCCTGGGACCAAATGCTGGGTTTTACATATTGAAAATACTGGCTTTTTAATTTTAGTAAGAAAATGCTGGAGACCATGCATACGCAATGGCCTGTATGGTGAGGAAGAGCCAATGCATTGGGCCTGGGAAGATCAAAGCTTCATAGCATTCTCACTGCATTTTGGCTTCGGTGATTCTGTAGCCTCTGATGCAGTTTCTCTTACCACCTCCACTTTTAGCAAAGCCGCAGTAAAACACAGCCCTGTGGGTGGCTTAATTTTATCTGATTGTTACTGCCATTGAGAAGGATCTCAACTAAGCTGCTGCTGACTCAAAGGTCCATTTAGCACAACAGGCATAACTGAGTCATGGCGAGAAGTTAGTGGTTCATGGAACCATGTTTAATTGACTCAGCCACTTAACCAGAGACCCTCGGTCCCTCTGGGGTTGGTTAAACAAACTCCACCATCACTAGTGAGATAACTGGCCCCAATCCTCCACAGCTGACCTGAAAACAGATTAAGCAACATGTCCCGGACTCCCTGCTCTAATTTTATTCCTCCAACCACCTTCTTGCGGAGTAAGCTGAGCTGAGGATGATGGCTGGGTTTACTCATTCCTGCTTTCATTTGTTGGTCAAGCTGCATCTTTCCCCCCTTTTAAATCCCAGAGATGCTGCATTTCTTTTTTATGTCTTTTTTGGGGGGGGGGAGGTTCTAATGCAAATGTTGCTAATCAACACCTTTGCAGCGCTGAATGGAAATGCTGCTATTTTATACACAAGGGACAGCTAATTGCTGTGAAGAGAGGTGTTACCCCTCAAAAATTGCTGAATAATAATGATCTTTTTTTTAAAAAGCATTAAAGCACTTCTCCCACATCTCCACACACACATTTCACTTCTAAGTTGCAGGATTTCAGAAAGAGCAAAAGGAATAATTTCTGCCCACCCTCCAGTCTTCTGGAAGAGGTATTTCTTTTGCATCCTTGACCCTCCCAAATTTTTAGGCCACTCTTCACTGAAGATCTGCCATCATGTCGGTGTTGACTCCTAGTGAGCATATAAATAGATTTCCTCCAGAAATCCCTGTCCCTAACCAGGTCCCTCAGATCACAGATCTCAGTAAAGCAACTTTACTGAGTATTTACAGGTTGATATTTAAGTTAAACTTGGGTTTGTATTGGATTCCATGATAAGGGCGAGGTTTAAATGTTCTTTTCTGGCATTTTTACTAATAAGTTACTATAAATTCAGGGAAATAACACCAAGAGTTCCATCTATCCATCTTTAAAATGGTTTCTTCTTCAACCTCAGCAAACATAGCTAAGAAACAATAGGAAAGGCCAGTAAGGGGTGGGGCCTGAACAAAAGTGGGTGGAGCAGTCACTTTTTTCTCCTCCCCCTTCTCCATTTTTCACCGGAGCTGCTTGGAGGGGAATGGCTCATCCTTCTGCAAAAGTGCATCTGATTGCTTGGGAGTTGGAAACTAGGTTAAGGGTTGAATGCAGACCCTATGCTTCTTGGTCCTGCTCTGCTTGACAGCAGTCTTTCCCACCTCCGGTTGAGTTTCTAGGAATTAAACCTGGATCCTTCGCATGCAGTTCCCCTAAGCCATCATCTGCTTCCTGATTGCACTGGGGAAGTTGCTGTTTACTGAACCACATTCAACTCGCAGTTCAGTATGATTGCAGACCAGCATTGGTGGGAATCCTTGACTTTTGACAAGGTCTTCTCCAGCCCTGCTTGGAGATGTGTGAAAATGAATTTTGGATCCTTTTCATGCGAAGACTGCTCATTGCCCCATTATACTGCATCCCTTTTCAAGCAGACCAGTTCCATCTTTGCCCCAGCAGATACACCCCTCTCCTGCTTCTTTGGGCTTATTGGATGTCTTGTTTCCCTTCCCAGGTTACCTGGTTGAGATGTTCCGAATCATCTGGTCAAACCTGGGATGCTTCCAGTAATTGATCCAGGACTGGGAGTCTGGGGTTTCTTTAGTTGCCCAATAATTGGGGTCCCTTAATTTCCACTCCCTGCACCTCCTGCCCCTAATTCTTGAGAGGGCTTTGTGCTCTTTTATGCTAGCCAAGCCACCACTGACAGCTAAACCCCCACACACACACACCCAAAAACCCCCTTAGGCTTTAATCCTCTTCTGCACTCTGCATGCCCACACACAGCCTAATCCTGAAATGTGAGCAATCCATTGCTTCCAGAATAGAGTTTAAGAATGAATAATGCCATCTTGCTTTGTTAGATCTCTGGGCAACTCTGCAGCTTTTTTATTCAAAGCAAAGTATGTTCCTTAAGACAATATTCTCCCCAAGGCACCACATCTGAAGCCTAACATGGAATTTAACTGCCCGGAGAGAGCACTAGTATGAATAAATGTAGTGTAACTTTATACAATGCAAAGGAGGAGGTTGCAAAAAATGTGGGGAAAGGAGGGCACAAGCTGTCTTCAGGATGTCAGGCGGGGGACCAAGGGGTTTCTGGTCACCAGAACCCATGATTTAGAAGAATTTCCGCAGGTTGGATCATATTAATTGGTTGCTGCGAAAACGATGAAGTGCCTTGTGGCATCTTTTAAGGTGAATGTGTTCATTACAGCTGATGTTTTCATGGTGAGGAGTTGACTTTACTGATGGCCCATAGCAAAAATTATATCACCCTGGATCTGAGCTCAGATCCTGGAGACAATGTGGACCCAATCAAGTGTTTTGCTTGGCAAACGTCTATAAAAGGATGGGAATTTCGCATGATCATGAAGAGGGTGGGAGATAGGAATAGCTTTCGCTGGGTTAACATTTCCCCAGCCCTCCCCCAAGTTCCAAGCGTAAGCCTTAAGGAAACGTTCAGGCATCCTGCTTCGAATGGAGGGATGGGCTCCATCTTTTGAGAACTCCTCTGGGGGTTTTAGGTTCCAGCTTGCTGGTTATAGGGCAGCTTCAAATCAAGTGGCTGATCTGGAAAGGGTCTTGGCTATTTAGTCCAAGGCACTGCCTCCTACAGCTGCCTATTGCTCTGGGTATGCTCAGAGGCATTCTAATCTTTTATGGATGCCAAGATTGAGCCTTGGCATTTACGAGAGAGCCAGACTTCGGGGAGTGCTGATCAAATGTCTCTCCTGCAGACTCTTCGGTCTTCTCTTTTCCCTCCCCTCCCCTCC